AATCTGAATATTCACTACTCTCTCCTTTTCTTAACCTCAAATTGCTCATATTGCAATCAACATGAAAATATTACACATTTATTACAATGTTCACTTCACACTTACAATCCACATAATACTCTTATCAATGAAATTTCAAATATATTAAGTTTACTAAATCTCCTAGAAACCTTATCACATACAATAGTACAAATTTTAAATCCACAAAACTCTCTCACAAATTCTACTATATATAATGCAATACTCTACTTATCCAGGGAACAATAACTCTTGACCAATACAAACAACTTCAACCTACTCTAAAAAAACTAACAAACAACTTTCTTATTCTTCTATCTAACTCTCTACTTAACTGGTTCAACTCTACTATTTGGCAAACCTGAAATACTAAACAATATAAATAGGAATTAGCATGAGGAATTACTGCCTCAACTAAAAAGAAAAACAACATCTGATTACCTATTCTACAACCTCCCAATTCTACTAATAATAGCTTCATATTTAATACTGATATAGATTTCTTTATCTCTAAAACTCTTTCTCAAAACTTTTCTATATATAATTGCTTTTATTAATCTTAATAATCCCAAGGGTTCCTTTTACTTCTTCTGTAATTAATGACTACAATAGTTGATTTAACTAATAACAGATAACTAAAGGATAATATTACACTAGATATCGTTACCATATAGCAACAATAGTGTAGCTTAGAAAAAATTTTTACTTATATATTTATATCCAATTGATATACCTATGTATTAATAAATTTCTCTACTTGATATTATATAATAATAATAATAAAAAAAAAAAAAAAAAAAAAAAAAAACTTACAAAATCTAAACTTTGGTTGCTTTTATATTACAATAATAAGATTATTATTAAAAAAATACAAAAATAGTTTCTTTTATCTAATCATTACTCTATTACTTACTGGACTTTTAATATAGACTTAAATTACTTAAAATTCTATTCTCTACCACCTGCTAAATACAAACAATATACAGAATGCGATCTTAACTCTTATGGAATTAACTAAACTTGTACTGTTGAAGTTTCTGTTATTATTTCAATACAAGTTCTTGGCAGAACTAATTCTAAACAAAACTCAACCTTAATGTAAATTACTTGGATCTTATTTGCTTTACTGCAGTCAAACATTTAACTTACATTTTTTCTATACCTTCTAATCCTATTTTTAATTCAATTGGTTCTAAAATCTTTATTCCAAGTAAAGCTACTAACAAACTTATATCTATCTTTCATTTTAACTATTCTTATTAACAATTATCCTTTTATACTAATAGCTCTATAATCAACATTGGTACTTACTAATGCACAATAGGTATTGACTAGATCCAAGTTGATAATAATAATCAACCTATTAACTTTTTTCTACTAAAATACAATTCTAACCTTTATCATATAAAGCTAAGCTCTTCTTAATTATTACTACATTTTCAACAGCTTTATGCAATTTAATAATTAATATTTTCACTGATTCTAAATTACTAATTTCTAAATTCAACAATCTTCAACCTAATTTAACTCATCTTAATAAGCTATTTAAATTCAACTTGGTATATTCTTTTAAATATTATCAAATTACATAAACTACAAATTATTTTTTACAAAGTGCAAGCTTATTCAGATAATAATCTAATGAGTAAGCAGACTCTCTTGCTAAACAACATCTATTATCATCATTTCTCTTTTTTAATTATACAAATTTTTATAACCCTTTTAATATTCTTTAATAAAAACAATATTATATAGAACATCCTACAGGATACTTTATTAAACAAATATATAAAGCTTATATATTAGCTATATGGGCATCATAAAAATGTAATAGTGAGTAGTTATACTTCAATCAGGTTATTGATTGAAGATTCACTTAGCTTTGTTTTAATTATAATCAAAACCTTCATGCAATATTACTAATTTTAAACTCAACTAACTAAACTTCTTTAAAATCAAATTTTTCTTAATAAGTTACTAACATATTAATTATTTTATACTATTTATCCAAACTAATATTCAGATACTAACTGTTTTCATTGTAATCTAGCTAACTTCTATTTCTACTGGCATACTTGTGCTAATGCACTTTTGCTCAACTATATTATTCAAACCTCTACCAACCAAATTTTCTTTAACAAATTATCTGATCTTAATACTTATCAAAAAAATGACCTAATTCATTAAATTTTTTACTACTTAGCTCTTAATTCTCCATACATCTTACTTAATATATTTTATCCTAACTTTACTCTCAAAGAACTTATTTCAAAGTTACTTTTATCAACAGTTCAAAACTCTGACATATTATATAAAACTACTTTTTAAGTTATTATTAATATTTTTTTTAATAGTAATGAACAATCTTATAAACAATTATGAAAAACATACTGCATTCATCTTTCTAATTGAAAAAAACAACAAAATAAACCTTAATCTCAACCAATCAACAAACTCTCAACATTATCTGACTTAGTAACTAAGCATACATGTTTTTGTAAAAACTATACTTACTTATACCTTTACAGACTTCTAAATTAATTATATATTTACTCTAACACATGCTCTTCTATTGGCCAAGCAATTCACAAAATTAATATTTGGTCTATTCTATAGATCAAATATAGTATAACATCAAATTATATACTAAATATTTAAATCTAAATAAGCTTTGACCACTCTAGTAGGTTTAGATCACAGATAAATTAGTTTAAGCTTTTATTTTTGCATATAATTTTCAATTTATTTGTTTTGTACAAATAGTAATAGCTGTATAGTTACTAGTTTAATAATTAGCTCTAACTGCAAGTGTTGGCCTTGGTTATAGCATATATATTTTAAATTATTAATAAAAATATAAGCAAGGCCTTATCTTAAAAAAATATATATATATATATTGTGATGACAGATATTGTGATACTGAATATCATGTCCAATTATATAAAAAATACACGAAATACAATAAGTGCACTAAGTTACATTTAGGATCAGAAAAGGTATTTCGAATCTAGAAAGGTAGATAAGAAATAAGGAGAGGATATTAGGATAAATTACATATCCTTACAGATATTAAATATATCACTGTAAATAGTTTTAATTAGTTTTAAGAAATAATAAGTGTAAAGTCACATTTGTGAGTGATGAATTTAGGATTATAAATAAAGGCCGAAATGGCCCTAAGAGACGATATGTCTCATTTGCTTGATCAATAAACAAGCCCCAATACATTGTAATATCTATAATAAAAACCCTAACACTATACCTGGTATAAATCCTGTAAACACCAATAACCATCATTGTTCATTCATGCCCTTGTACACATAACTTACCCTACTTGCATTCATTGACCCAAAGTAACCAAAAGCCCTTTTAGCTCACAAGCCAAATCCAACACCCTCTTTTGAAAAAGTTATTTGTTGTACATTACACAAGGTTTAGAATTTTGAAGCAATAGAATCGCAATCTTTCTAACCTAACATTTTTGGTAATAACTGTGAAATCTAAAAATAATGTTTGCTACCCCCTCTCCCTTTGATTCAAGAAAAAATTAAATTAGCAAGAAGAAGAGGTTCTGGCCTGTTTCGATGTACTGTAATCCCAGCTGTAGTAGAAGAAAAGAATTAATATAAGTTTTGGTTAGTACCGATGAAGTATAGAACACCAAAGCTAAAAAAAAAAGATAACTTACCAAAAAAAAAAGAGTGCCAACTCTGATTCAACGTAGTGTAATTCTGGGTTAAGGCATCTAGAATAAGTGTCTGGTTAATTCTCAATGAACTGAGAACTACCATCGTTATTTCCAACTCTTCCAATGTACTGTGGACAGTAAGGTGACTGAATTCCAGTTTGAGGTCCAAGAGGAAAGCCCAGCTGTGGTTTTGATTATAGAAATAGTGATTACAAGAATTAGTGAAAAAATAGGTTTAAGAAAAAACTCAAGGAAGAGATTAGTACTTACCTATGACAAAAAATGTATGAAATCTATGAACCAACCACTGCCAATTCGAATTATCAGCAAAATGAGACCCATATGAAAGTACCTCAATGACAGAAAGTCTAAAAAACCTCCTCAAGAAATGAACTGATCCAAAAAGGCCCTCGAAGAAAAATTGTATGTTTCTATTGTAGAAAAAAAAACCACAATGTTAGTAACTGCCTGAAAATAAGGATGAAGCTACAAAAATGCCTAGAATTATTGAATACACTTACCAAGAACAAACTGCAGAAGTTCAAGAAATAGTAGATAAAACCATAAGAGATCGTAGTCTTTATAACCTGCAAGCTCTAGAATAATTTTTTGAGATATTAACAGATATTAGCCAAGATAATGACCCTGATGATGATGACAACAAAGAAGACATTATATACTTACCCTTATATATCCGATTGGCCCCATCTGTGAAAGAAAATTCATCATCCATGCCTCTAGCAGTCCCAAGTCAGAAAGCTTCCTTCACACCATCCTTGTTCAAGAACCCAATTGAGGAGATAATCGACCTCTATATTGTTCCAGAAGAAGAGGTTGGTAACCCTGATGCCGAAGTCCTCCTAGAAAGCCTAATTAATAGTTATTTGGAAGCACTCCAGCCTGAAAAACCTGAACCTGTCAACTATGAGGACTGACACCAAAGTGGAACTAGTGTTAGAAAGAATGAAACAAATAGAACTAGAGTTGAAAAGGATAATCATGAAGCATTTGAAAAATATTGGAAAAGTGCTAAAAACAGAAATTCGGATGGGCAAACCAGTTTTGAATTTTGCCACAAAGAGGAAACCGAAGATCTACTTTTACCAGATAAGAACCCTTTTGGAATTGCAGTTCAAAAGAATGAACATAAAGCCATTATTTATTATCAAAAATCTATGGATATAAGACCTATCTAAGGAACATGTAATTTTGGCTATTGTTATGAAAGAAGAATCAGTGCTGAAAAAGACGAACAACTAACCTTGGAATGGTGCCCAAAATCAGCTAAAAATAGATGCGTATTATGTTTAAAACCTTGGATCAAGCCTGTAAAGATTGGAACAGAAGGGTTAATAAATATAGAAGATCAATTCAAAATGACACAAAAACAATGGAAGACCCTACCTGGTCAAGCCTGGTGACCATTACAAGAATGGAGCATGTTTAGAATGAGCAGAAGATGTTAATACAACTGAACAATTCGACCCTGTTGGAGAAAATTCAGATGAAAAAGAGAATAACTTGAACCAAGTTGAATTTGTACTATCACAAGTCTTGATGCTTAATGCTGCTTCCAGTAAAGTTGTGAAACAGTCCATGGAAAAAGGTGAAGAATGAAAGAAAAGCCCCAAAAGGTGTACATCATGGAGGTCTTGAGTCAGACATCTTGGCCTGCTGAAGACAAAAAGAACATAAGATTAGTAAAGTGAAACAAAAGCCAACCTACTAAAAAGAATTAAATTATGCAAATGGATACCAGCAAAAATGAAGCTCTTCAATACTTACCAGCATATGACCTACATAATCAGATATATGACTCTGGAAGAGGATGCTGTAACTGACCCCTTGTCTTTGTTTCTGGTTGCATACGACAGTTGTACATGTGAAATGGGCATATGACAAGGGTTGGACCCTTTGTCTTGGACATGAATGTTTGTCTTGAGTATAGTGTTAGGATAATTATAAAAAAAAAAAATTTATATAAAAATAGGTATTACATTAAATGTAATCATAGATGACATCATAATTTCATTTTTTATTGATATCAATCCAGTACCCTGCTCTTTCGATGACCCACGATTATTATGAAAGATCATGCATGGGACACATGACCTAAGCAGGAGAGAAATGTGATGACAGATATTGTGATACCAGATATCATGTCCAATCACATGAAAAATGCATAAAATGCAATAAGTGCAATAAGTTATATTTAGAATCAGAAAAGGTATTTTGGATCCAGAAGGATAGATAAGGAATAAGGGGAGGATATGAGGATAAATTACATATCCTTACAGATATTAAATAAATCACTGTAAATAGTTTTAATTAGTTTTAAGGAATAATAAGTATAAAGTTGCATTTGTGAGCGATGAATTTAGGATTATAAATAAAGGCCGAAATGGCCCTAAGGGACGATATGTCTCATTTGCTTGATTAATAAACAAGCTCCAATACATTATAACATCTATAATAAAAACTCTAACACTATACCTGGCATAAATCCTGTAAACACCAATAAACATCATTGTTTGTTCAAGCCCTTGTACACATGACTTACTCTACTTGCATTCGTTGACCCAAAGTAACTGAAAGTCTTTTTATCCACAAGCCAAATCTAATACTCTTTTCGAAAAGGTTACTTGTCATACATTACACAAGGTTTAGAATTTTGGAACGATAGAGTTGCAACTTCCCAACCCAACAATATATATATATTAGCATTATAACTAATAATTCTATACTATTAAATTATATTTTTTTTTTTAAATGTTAAGGTAAGTACATTCGACCCAGGATTTTACTAATAGTATAAGTTGGCCAGCACCTGTACATGTACAGACACAGAGGCAATTACAGAAAGAGTGTACAACTAGCCACTCGTACAACTTTAGTCATTGTCTAATTTAAGTAGTCCAATCAAAGGTTCTACACTAGTTGCTATACCTAGAACCTATCTGTAGATCTTCTATTTAAACACTCTGATCCTGCATCCACCACACCTATTAGCGACTCCGGTAAACTGGTGAAGATATGCCATGGTCACTAAGTCATGTTTAACTTTGTACTAAACCTACTAGTATGTTCTGTATTCCATACTTATAGCTCACCCGGTCACGCTTTGGCCTAAAGCATAACTTGCAGTCAGGGCTATCATTAAACCGCTTTTACCTTTGTAATGTTCACCCAAAACCCTAATACCCATCTTTTTGATGTTCTCTCCATCGTCCTCTACTAAACGCTACTCAGGACTGACAGAACTCCCTGGACTTCCAATCCAGATGGCCCGGTATAGTATACCTTAGTATTTTTTTCCTACGGCAATTCCGGTGGCCTGGTTGGTCATGTGCTACTCTACACATCTTGCCATCCGGTTTATCTGCCTATCTCTTTGGGGGTGTTTCATGGGCTTCCATCAGTCTAACAGCACCATCGAAAGTTTTGTGCTACCTCCTTACTCGGGATT